GCACCCCCCCCCCCCCCCCCCACCCTCTAATTCAATCCCATCTAGGGCCAATTTCTCAAACTCAAAGAAACCAGAACCTGTACCTTCTGAATAAGCTGATTTTGTGTTTACTGCACTTCAGGTGATCAATTTAATTCAGGATCATAAGTTTAGTAAAAGCATAAAGCAATGGCCAAAACATCATTGATTATCGCACAAGTTTGTCTTGGGGTGACAATGATATACATATTTAATGATATAGCAAAGTCATGAGTGACATTAACCAATAATCTAAAACTTCTAGGATGGAAATCTCCGCCAGATTTTCAGCTTTAATTAAAAATTAAGTGTCTAAGGTAAATGTCTGTCTCTCAATTCATAAGCTTATAACATAGGGAAATAAGAAAATCTTAGTGAATGCTAAATGGAGTTAGGCCACATGAGATTCCAGGTAATTAGAATAAGCTCCTGAATGAACTGCAGCATCAAAGGTTTTAGTCACTTCTTTAAAATCAAACCAGAAAATCACTAGAAACCATGTATAATCCACAATGAATATAATCAAATCCATAATAGACACAAAAGAAATGAATGACCAACTTTTCCATATACTAAAGCTGAAAACCAATGAAGGGAGTTTATTGCTCACATTAACTTATCTATTGGATCGCCTCAGAGCTTCAAAAAGGCCACAGCAGTTCCTCCAAGATGGACACAGGTTACGCTGTTGAAGGGATATGACAGGCTGTGAAAAAATTCAAAACAGAACACCGCCCATTCAGCGAAAAAATACGAAAGGGCAGAACGTTAGGCAAACTTTCAACATTGAATCCCAATAAAGTTACTGACCGGATCTCCTGTGCTTTCAGGAAAAGCATCGCTGCTTCCAACTACAGTAGTAGATTCGAAACTTTCCACAGTTTCATTGTCAACATTGCCAGATGATTCCCCAGTATTTTCCTTCAAAGCTGCCAGCTTCTCGTCCTCGATCCCCTTTGACACTGCCTCTGTCAAAGCTGGAGGAGCCGCGTTGTTTCCATCAAGAGATTGCAACACATTCTCCTCAATTCCCTTGGACACTTCATCTTTTACAGCAAGAGATGATCCATCTGTTGCATTCAATACCACTTCAGGTACTTCCGCATCATTCTGATCCGTGACAACTGAAGGAAACACACCAGTTTCTTTCAAAGGCACCAAAACCTTCTCTTTGGTTTCTTTCACTTCTACTTCAGACACATCATAGTTCTCAGATTTCTCCACCAATGCTTCAATAGTTTCAGCCAATTTTTCCTCCACAGACTCGGCCGACCCAACAGCTAAATTAACCACCTCTTTCTCCACCACTTCCAGTATCTCTGAATCCTCCACTTGAACTGTTTTCTCTTTAGCCTTTGCCTCTTCCTTTGAACTATTGCTGCCCTCTAAACTCGAATTATTCTCATCAATAGTTTCTTTCATAGACTCAGCAGTGCTATCAAGAACAACTTCTTTCACAAATTTATCCCCTGAATCGACCACCTCAACTTCCTCGAGAACTTCCTGTCGTTCCACAGTTTTGGTCTCCTCATTTTTCCCATTTGAAGCTTCCTCCATTTCGGTTTAAAACTACCTGTGTAACAGACAAAAGAAAATGCGTTTCTTTCTTTTCCTTCTTTCAGAAAGATATGTACATGGAACACAATAGTTATGGGGTTTCTGTGGAGACCATAAATTGTTTATGTAAATGGAATTCCAGGTCGAGAATTCCTCCACAAGTTAATCAAAATAAGAAAGAAAACAAGAACTGATGGAAACAAGTCAAAAAATAGAGTGAATTCTAAAAATATCAGCGAAAGAAAACAAAAAATCACAGAAAAGAAAAAACCTGGGATGATAGAGAAGGAGATACGAGTACCTTGAAGCAGAATAGTAGATGGAGGAGGATAGGAGATGACAAATTGTACAATCACTGCTGTTCTCTTTAGACTCCAAGTCTTTGACCGGTTGGTGTGCTTATGTACTAGGAATTTGAAGGGAGAGAATAGAATGGTAGATGGTGATGATTGAAGATGGAAATTAAAACGGCTGACATCTGGCAGCTTTTGGAAACTGGAAAGGCGGGGGGGTTTATTTAAGCACAGCAAGAGCAGCCGAGCCAAATTCACAGTGGACTTGGACATGACTTCCTGTCGTATTGTCCGATGCTAAAATGCCACAACTTGGACCTTTCTCTTCTATCACTCTTCTTGCCCAATTGTCTGCTGCCATTTTACACAACCTCTTGTTTTTGTTATTGAACCAGTCCTAAGCCCAATATATTACCGACAGTGTTTGAACGTAATTGACTAGATCATGTAGGCCGGGCTTACATCGTGTGGGTAATTTACCCTAGGACCGTTCTGTGGAAGAATTCAAAGTGAGAGCAAGATTTCAGAAAACAGTTCAATAACTACCTCCAAAATAGCCGAGCGTTATTTGTTGATCAATTTAAATACCTACTTAGGATCCTGTTGCTGTAATTGCAAGGCAAAGAAACAAAAGGTTATGAGAGACGTCTTTTTGCTAACAACAGAGATTGACCTGTGTTGGAGGCATAAAATTTATATTTTGATGTGAAATACGTCAAATTATCTAGAGCAAGCGTCATGTATACCATATAAAGGGAATAAATGTCAGTGTCTGCTATAAAGCAAGTATATAGTACCATTCATGCGTGATTATTGATTACTCCTGGCAAATTTAGAGGACTGGAAGGTGGGCCGACAGGAGTTTCGATGCTTTTAATTTTGATTTTGGTCAGTTTCTTGTACTTGACCAGTGCGTTAACAGCACGATTACTTCTGATGCACACCACAGTTTCATCAAAATGCTGATTGGAGGATGTGTTGATCGAATGTTTTATTTTTAATGCCAAGGTAACAGATGGGTTGTACAGCGTGTAAAGAATCAGAAAGTAACTTAAGATGAATTAAGAAATTGAATTGCTTCACATTACATTATTTATATCTGCAGAAAGAATAAAGAATTTCGTGTTCCAATTAAATTTTAGCATGTAGCTTCTTCAAAGGAATCTTGATCGCTTGCATTCAGCTGGGATACCCTGAGGGAATCGTTTCAAGTCGGTGCAGTAGTTGTAGATCATGTACTTCTGCTGCACCCATCGAAGCCTGTTGCGGCCGGAGGCATCAAGAGCTTGCACTTGCCAGGTACTGTCCTCCACGGAATTCGGGGATGTGGAGGTGCAAGATGATCCAGGTGACCGAACACAAGCGGTGGCTTTGAAATTTCTGTAAGAAGCAGTGAAAGGAGCTTGTGTCCAGTCAGTCTTCACAAGCCCCCCTCTCGTTGCCCAATCATCAGCATTCCAGAGACTCGAATAAATCCTCATGGGCTGCTTCGTCGGGAACGGCACTCCGATTGATTCCGAGTTGTGGAATACTCTTAGGGGGATGTTGTCCACCAAGAAACTGAAGCATACCAAATTGCAAATTAGTATTCGAAAATTCAGTAATCGCAACGAGACAGAAGTACTGAGGTGAGCGTATGTTTGACTTACATTATTCGTTGCTGGTTCCACACAATAGAGTAGGTGTGGAAAGCCTTGGTGGGATCAAACCAGAGATAAAACTGCTGTTCTTTGTTGCCTTTCCCTTGGGAGAACACATTGGTATGGAGAGTATATGGTTCTCCAGTTACATTGCCTAGAAACTCGAAGTCAATCTCATCGTGGGTCGGCCCTTGAGAAGATAGCTGCATAACAAGCAGGAAAATATGAGAAAACTCAAATTTACGAGTTACAGCAGAATTCAATCACAGTAGGAAGGACCGAGGCTTACATAGTATGTGGTGACAGTGCCAGCCGAGTTGCCCGATACTAGCTTGATTTGCATGTCGATTCGGCCGAACAAGTACTCATTCTTGGATCGGAAACCAGAACCAGAATCCTTGTCAAGAGATAGTGTGAGAAGTTGGCCACCATTTAGTATCTTAGCACGTTGATCGCCCCAGGTGATGTCAAAATCTTGGAAGAAATTGCCACCCATGGAGGCTACCACTAGACAAGCAAGTAACAGAGCAAACAGAAGCATTGAGGGGAGCTTACTAGGACAAGAGAATGGCATCTTTCCTTTTCTAACGGAGGGAGATGGAGATATCTTGAGGATAAGGAGAATTCTAGATTTGTATTCTGTGATGTTAGAAGTGCAGTTTGGTTCCTTTATATAGGCCATTTCCGGACTGTAACCTTTCCTGGTTGACATAACCATCCGCTGGAGAGAACTAGCGTTTTTTTATTCTTTTAGAACTGTTGACAGAGTTGCAAATTAATGAGTGGCAGAGGAAGAAGCTCGGAAACTACAAAATCGTGTTTTTTTTTGTCTTTGGCTGAAGAGGAGATCAGTGAAGCATTTGAAATAGGGGAAAGGTTATCTTGGGCTAATTACGACCAAGACCATGCGATGAGAACATATAATAAATTAATTGAATATCAGATTTATGACTAAATGACGGTGAGTTCATAACTTCCACATGCATAGATAGGGCTCAAAACAGCTTTATCACGGGAGACACTAGACAATATGCGTTGGGTGGAATATCAATCTAAGTGTATTATACTAGGTAATGTCACACGTAATACGTTACGTTGGAGGTATAACTAGTTCGGTATGCTGTGATATGGCCCGCATATTAAATATTTTTATTTTTATAAAAAAATTATATATGTAATTTTTTAAATATAATTTTATAATTCAAAAAATTTAAAGGTAAATTAAAAGGTTTACGAACATATATAATTAAATAAACCGAAAACTATGTAAATAAATAAATAAAAAATAATTAATTATAAACAATAAAAAAAAATAAAACTTGAAAAATCAAAAGATAAATATTGATCATGATATTTAAACTTGCAAGATGAGATATTTAGTTGATTATATTTTTTTAATTTTTTTATTAAAATTTATTTTTATTTAATCAAATGATAATAGAAATAGACAAACATATTAAATTAATTTAATAAAAAAAAAGAATAATATGCAAGGCTACTCATAGAAAATAAATATTTTTTTATTTTAAAAAAATAGTTTATCCATACCAAAGATAAAAAAAAAAAATTATAGATGAATCTGAAAAACCTCTTCAAAAATTAAACGCATAATAAAAAATCACCATTATTTAAAAGAGATTCTCTAAACAAAATAAAAGAGAAGAAAAGTATTAATGTAAATATAATTAAGTTTTATAAAAAACTAAAAAAAAAAACATCAATTGAAATAAAAAATTAAAAAAAAAATGGTCAGATGTTGTTAGGCTTAGCAAACTGGGAAAGCCCGTCTGGCTCATTTTATTAGGGCCCGTATGATTGGGCTTTTTTGTTTAACTACACCCGGGGTAGATGACTTTTGTCCACTTCATTTTTTTAAAAAAAATCAGATAACACATCGTCTGTTTTGCTTAGATTTTAATCATTGTGATGACCGAAAAATCGAGCTCAAGATTCTTTTGACCTAAAATATTTTAGAAACCATGATAAACCTATTTATAGTCTCAAAAAACTCAAAAAGATCATCCAAAAAACCGAACTCATCTTGAAACCAAAAATCAACCCTAGCTAATTTGAACTTCTTTCATCAAATCGAATAATTTGACTCCGTTATAGTCTATTTTGATGGGTTAAATCGGTGTTAATGATATATTTCTTTCTCTATGGCTAGAATTTAATGATCTCTCTCTCTTAACTAGGAACAAAAAAATAACAAAAATAAAATTTTGTATCAAAATAAAATTGAAAAAATATTAAGAAATCAAAATTGTGTAATTTACGTGATTGTTTAAGTTAGAGGAACAAAGAGCATCTTTTTCGAAACTTATAGCACGCCATTCATGTTTATTGTGTTTTTCATTTTAGTCCTCCTTTTCTAATCTTCTCTTTTCATAAGAATTCAAAATCAATTACTCTTTAATTATAACTAAATCATCCCAAAAAAATTTAAGGATCAAATTAAAAAATTAAAAATTTTAAATAATCTATCCATGTTAAAATACGAGAGAATGAATAGTAAAGGCAAGAAAGGATAAATAGTATAGGCAATGTACAGTGAAAATATTATACCATTTAAATTATAGGTAATCATTCTTTAAACATTAAAAAAAACTAGATGATCAAAAAACAAATATAAGAAACATGGAATCAATTTTTTTTTTTTTTTAACATAGTGATGTATTGAACCAATTGGGTTAACTTTTGTTAACCTATTAAATTTAAGATTTAGTTTTTGAGACCATGATAACATTTGAAAAGCAAACTTGTGATTTATATCATGAACTTTACTGGGTTCAAATGTATTTTTTTTTTAATTTAGTTATATAATAAAAAACTTTAGGACCAAAATACTTAAAAATCACCTCTTGTACGGTGAAAAATAAAAGATGCTGAATTTTTTGTTTTAGTTTAAAATTTTACTTTTAAAGCTTTAATTATTTTTAATTAATAAAATAAAATCTTATTGTATTAAATCAAGTATGAGCTTAACATGAAAACAATTCTTCTACATTGTGAAAACCTTATATCAACTTTTTTTTTATATAATTATAATTATATAATTTTCTTTTGAATTTTTTTCTTGTTGACATGTGTTAAATAGTTTAAATATTTTATTTGTTTGAAAATGACAAAAAGATTTAATTTTTTGGGTAGAATTATTGTGTTTTGGTTGAAGGGTAATGCTGTAATTTGGTTAATATGCATGTGTAAAACTAAAATTTACCAAAAATAAAAAGGAATGTACTAAAAAAATGAAAAACAAAAAGTGTGTAAAAAATATTGGAAAAACATCATCATGCTTGAACCCCTGCAATCTTAGGTAATGTTATGAAAC